CTAAGCAGAAATTTCTGACAGCGTAGCGGGGGGTGTTAGCAAAGGTGACGGTTTGCACACGTTTTATTAGAAAATATGTCAAATTTTCTAAACACACAGCTTGAAAGGCCACATCGCGAGCCAAGACACGCCGTGTTTTATTATGGAAATATCGTGGTGAGAACCCTGATGTGACGTATGTGGTGCAGCTGTGGCTGCAGTGAAAGGAGACTTGTTGAACTGTTTTAACTGAGTGTCTTACTTTAGTGATGCATTCATTCTGGCTACATGAGATACCTGTCTGCGGTGCAACATCCTGCTATGCTGCCTTTCTGTATAATACTGATGGTTTCTATAGCCGTGGCGTTATAATGACGATGTTAAGAGGTGGTTTGATTCAGGTAGGATGCCACTGAAGGCCTCGGAGTAAAATGCACAGCCTGCCACTGATATACACACACATATATATATGGACCATCCAGCATTATAAAGTGCTTTAATGTGCACTCAGCTCTCGACGTTTTACCATTTTGAACAGGAATGAGGAAATTCAAACTGAATTCCCCCTTTTATACCCAAATTTGAGCCGGGTCACTGGGCTTCTCTGAGAGGTCAGAGATGAATCAAGCATAACATTCAAAATTTTTTCTTTTTTTTTCTGTTCAGGAATACAAGTAAATAACCAGAATTTGTCATCTTAATCAATACATAATCTTCTAGCTGCGAGGCGACGGTGCTAACCACCGAGCCACCTTGTAGCCCTTTTGTAAAACAGTAAATTTGAAAATTCATGGATAACAATAATAATTTTAGCATTAAAAATATAATTTCGGTTAAAGAGCTTCTACATGTTGGTGTACTAACCATTACAGACGCATAAAAAATGATTTTGGTAATTACCAGTGCTGTTAATTTAGGACACCTGTGGCATAATCCTTACGTTGGGTGGTGGTCTAATAAATTTGTTAAGCACTCTATTCTGAACTGTATGCAACACGTTGGACCAGCAACAAAACACAGAGATTGAATAGATGACTAATACACCACAGAAACATAGAAAGTGCTTGTAACGCCACCTCTACTTGAAATAGTCTTCCAAACTAGTCCAGAGTTGTTAAAAAGCGCTTAGATTTGTTTGTCCATAACCGTCTCAAAAACCTAAACTTAAGGTGTCAACTCTTAATGAAAGAAATAAAAATAGCAACAGTAGAAGCAAAATCAGCCCATCTGAAATGAAATAAATGTTTAGATTGTAGAGAAAGGTCGGGAGTTTCCCATTCCTTTTAAAACAAACTATCTCCACAGCAGCATCTGGTAGATACAGAAAACACTACAGCTGAAGGCACTGCAGCATTTGCTTACCGAATTTATCAAGGAGCTTGTTCAGCAAAGTAAGTTTGTGTATCCACGTGTTTTTGTACCTGTTGATCTCTAGTAGCTCACCTGACAGCCATTGTACAACAGCTGGTGCTCAAACTTGCGGATGCTGAGAATTTGCTGGAACATGTCGTACAGCTGCTCCTTACTGAGGATGAGTTCTGACACGGCACTCAGGTGCGCTCGCTGTGGCTGACGTCGCATGTCCTCGTCCCCCCTGTAGATGGCGTCATATTTGGCGATCCAGGAGCTCAGCACGGTCTCTTTGCTCAGACCATCGATCTCAGGGAGGCTGCGGACGCGTCGCTCGATGTTCTTCTTGAAAACCTCGCGGAAGTCATTGGCAGAGCATCCACCGCTCTGAACCATCCGGGAAACACGCTCGCTCTTTAAAAAGCCCTGCAAAGCAAAGAAAGAATAAGCACTTACAACACTGGTTGAATAACTGACATAAATCATACGGCTACATACATCTCATACATGAGTGTCAACATTTTCATGTCCATAAAAGACAAGAGACCAAAGACAAACCAAAGCTTAACAAATGTACTACAAAAAGGGTTCTAAACTCTTCCTGAACCACAGGGTAGCTGCTAAATAGATAATTCACCAAAACATCCAGAGACTACACAGGACACTCACATGGTGATTCACAGGGTCTCATGTGAACTCTCTGTTTCATTCACATTTTTGGCAGTAGCTCTTAGTTTCAAAGAGACCGTCACTTACTCTGACGAATAATGACATGGTTCAGACTGAAGCAGCAGCAGCAGTTCAGTGTGACATTAACAAGTCTCTCAGTTGGCTGCTTCACCTCTTCATGTTGGTCTCACTGAAACTCTGAACAGCAGAGCATCACTGAGGAAATGATTCATCTAATTGAGGTCGAGAGAGCTCAGAGAGCAGCAGCTGAAGGCAGTTTGAGAAGACAAATGTGTGCAAACATTAAGTTCAGCAAACATTCTACACATTTAGCTTCTTTGCTCCAAAGATTTCTTTTGAATGAAAAATACTTTATTTATCCCAGAAGGGAAATTCAATATCAATATCAATTTGTTTTCCTGATGGATTCAATCAGTTCAAATTCTACATTATTTTGCAGAGGAAGTTTTTTCTAAATTTCAAAATCTAGTCACATAAAATAAAAAAAGTACACAACATCAGTGGCAATAACTTCCACTTCTTCAGGAATCACTGAATTGTCCCCAACTGATAAACAACTTTTGAGGACTTATCCATTGTAATCACAGTGCTGGCCTCCCTGCATATAATTGTTCTATCAAAACAATCCCCCATTGCTATTTTGCAGAGGTGCAGTCACCGCATCCTGGGCTCAGCACCTCTCAAGATGATTGTGATTGGCTTTAAGAAATACTAACAACCCTGAACATCAGACCATTGTCGAGCACTGACACAGCGCTGTGGTGATACAGCAGCACATGTCAAGATCTGGGATTCACGCCATGCTCAGTGCACAGATGATTCTCACGACAAAGAGGTGCAAAGACCTGAGTGACAACACAATACACCAGATGACAGGGTCGGAGAATTTTTCAAAAAACATCAAGGCTTGTCAAGTGTTGCTTGTCATCAGTATGAGCACCTACAAACAGAGACACACACAGTGCTGATGTCTTCTACTTCTGTATATTTCTTACATTTAGATGTTCCAGATCATCCAATTTAACGTTCATATTTATTTCATATTAGACAGCTGTAGTCCACAAAACATTCTTAAATGATGATTTATTGAAAAAAAAAAGAAAATCCTCTTTCACACTTGGCAGCACCAACTGCAGTCAAATGTTTGTTCCTGCTTGTATTCAGCCTTTTTATTGCCATAGAGAAATTCTGGTCCACTCTCGTCAGCAGAATAGTTTTAGTTCGGCCACATTAGACGATTTTCGAGCGTGACCTGCCCGTTTAAGGTCTTGCCACAGCATCTCAACGGGATTCAAGTCTGGACTTTAACTCGGCCACTCCAAACCCTTTTTTTTGCCATTTAGAGAAAGACTTGCTTGTGTGCTTTGGGTCTTTGTCATGTTGCATGACCCATTTGCGCTTGAGCTTTAGGTCATGAACTGATGTGTGGATATTCTCCAGGAGGAGGCAAAGCAGCTCCAAACCATTCCACTAACGCCACCATGTTTCACTGTTGGTATCATGTTCTTCTTGTGGAAGCTTTATTTAGCTTTATTTTGGATGTAATGTGCAGTCCAAAAATTTCAACCTTTGACATATCAGTTGACAGGATGTGTTCCCAAAGGTCTTGGGACTCAGCCAGATATTTTTGGAAATGCCAGACAAGCTTTTATGTTCTTTTTGGTCAGGAGTGGTTTGGGCACTGTGACTCTCCCATGGATGCCATTTTCACCCAGTGCCTTCCTTATTGTGGAATCATGTACATTGACCTTAACTGAGGCAAATGAGGTCTGCAGTTCTTTTGATGTTCGTCTGAGTTCTTTTGTAAACACCTGGATGAGATGTTGATGCCTTCTTGGAGAAGTCGGCCACTCCTGAGAAGGTTTACTACTGTTCCATGTTTTCTTCTTCTGTGGATACTGACTCTCACTGGTTCTCTGGAATCCCAGAGCCTTAGAAATGGCTTTTTAACTATTTCCAAGCTGACAAATGTCAAGGACTTTGTTTTGCATCTGTTCTTGAATCTCTTTAGAATATGGCATTGTGTGCTGTTTTTAGAGAGCCTTTAGCCTACTTCACAATGCCAGACAGGTTCTATGTAAGTAATGTTTAGATTCAACAAGCCTGGAAGTAATCATATGTGGGTGTGGCTGGTGAAATTAAACCCAACTCCCAAATGAAGTTGGTAGAAATGTAGCTAGTGGGGCAATTACTATTTCACATAGGACAAGGAAAGCATCATTTAAAAACAGCATTTTGTGTTTCCTTGGGTTACATGTGTATATGTATGTACGCTGGCTCGGTCATGTACGCCGCATGGGCGACGGCAAAATACCTAAAGATCTACTGTACGGCAAGTTGTCAGAAGGCTCTAGACCTCGAGGTCGCCCAAGGCTCCGCTTTAAAGACGCTTGCAAGCGTGACATGAAAACATCAGGGATCAGCATCAAGTCCTGGGAGACCACTGCTGAGTCAAGAGATTCCTGGAAAGCTGCTGTTGTGAGTGGTACGAAACAAGTCGAGATGTCACCCATCTCACGCAAAAGAGGGAAACGCAAGTCTTCCTAACAAGATCAAGAAGCCTCCGTACACATCTGTTCTTCATGCCAAAAAGACTGCCACTCCTACATCGGCTTGTTTAGCCACGCCAAGAAGTGTGCGAGTGACTGGACATGGTGCATCCCATCGTCTCATGAGACAGAAGGAGGCTGTCGCCGCAGCCGCTTGTAGAGTCAGTGGGGTCCAAAAGTCTGACACCACATTGCACTATTTTTAGGTCAACAGACTGACCTTCAAACTGAAGCCAATTAGTGGCAGTGAGCATGTCAACGCCTTTGCACAAAGGCCAGATTTCCTTAGGGCTGTATCCTTCCATTGAAGCACCGTTCAAATAACACTTAGGGAGATTTGATCGACTCAGGGGATTCTTCAGCCACCATTGTTCACCTATTAGAAATATGGCTGTGCTTAATGCTTCCAGCACAACATCTGTCACTGAAGCCCTTTTTATTCATGGGACATGGAACATTTCTGGCTTCATCAATCCATTAAAGAGGCGACGTTCTAATCATTCAGACATCAATGTTCCTCACAGCTTCATACGTAGGATCCTGGCTCAGACTGAGCTGCTTCATGTTCTCTTCAGAATCATTTTATATATCCCACTGTTTTTAACTCTCTTTCTTTGGAGATGCACATATGTATTATATTGTTGTCTGAAAATAACTAACTAACTAACTAATTAAATAAATAAATCAGAGAGAATAGTTTTAAACAGCTGGAGGCAGCAAACTTCAGACCTTGTTAACATTTTGTGGCGACTTGGATTACATTCAATATTAGTGAATATCATTAGTTTAAGCTGTTAGTGTCTGTTTTCACCACAGTAAAATTCACATTTCATTTTGTAGTACAATAGATTTGAAATTGTAGAGCAACATAAGCAAAATAAGTATATTTTGATTTTGGCAAGCAAGCTGTAATAATCACTGTAATGGCTTTCTTGTTTGTTTGTTTTGAACAAATGCTGTTGCTGAATTGTGGAAAAGGGCTTCCTGAACTCACTTTAAACAACTGAAAGTACAATTGCTTGTGTGTATCTGTCTGTTTTTTGTAACGGTGCAGTTCAGACTTGTGCTGTGTTGAAAGTAAAACAGAAATGGTACAAGGTCAGAACTAGTAAGAATGCCAGTGCGACTTTTTCTGAAACGTGACCAGGGTGCATAAAGCAATCATGTTCATTTGTCATCAGATAAACTGGGTGCATGTCTGAAAGGGGCCTAAGTAGCACTGTGATAGTGGGAAACATGGCATCAGAAGTAAATGAAAGTGTCAGAAGTCAGATTGTCATTCTGAGAAAAGAGGAGCTTTCTCAATGTCAGTTCATGGTGAGATTGAAGCTTTGAAAAAGGGAAGTGCACGGCGCTCTAAAACACTTTGTGGAAAGTGGATCAGTTGTATCCAAGGAAGATCAGACGGACCAAAAGTGAGCATACCGTCAGAAGATCAACACATCCACATTTGTTTACTGAGAGATAGAAAAGCAACTTTTGCCCACCTTAAATCTCTGTCTATCAAAGTACAGGTTCAAACATTTTGAGGAACTGAAAGTAGTTTTGGAGCCAATCATGGTTTAGTATGTAACTTAACGCAAACCTGTAGTGCATAAAATGTTCACTGACAAAAAATTATGAGACGTGTCAAACAAAACAGATTTTCCAGTCATTGATTAAACCCCTAAAAACTCATCTGTATATTTGAGGTACATATTTAGAAATGTTTCCTTGATAACAACCCTGTCCTGCCCTTTAAATGGCGTAAATGTAACTGTACACTGGTGATTCCCCTTTCCATTCACTGCTATTCAAGCACACGAGCTCACCTATAGCTCTGCTCAAACACTGTAAAACTGCTCGACACTACACAATGTTAAGTTCTAAAACTGGAGTAATCGATATGTTGGAACCGGAAACCAATTCTGCAGATAAACAATGACGCAGAAAGTCCCACCCTGCAGGTTGACAGGGTTCGTTCCTGGGGTTTGTTATGTATGAAACCCTGGAAGTTGGAGGATTTGAGACTGTTATCAGTACATTGCAGTTGGAAAAAGGAAATATTTTGCTCATAATGCATGTTTTACCCCATAAAAACCATCATCGACAAGTTAACAAGATAAAAAAAAATTGACTTTCACCAGAGGGATTATTTAAGAAGGAAAGAAGAAGGAAAAAAAAAAAGATTACTCCAAACACAGTGTT